ACTAGCTGTGTTTCTCCAGGGATGCTCCATGCGGCATTCGGTGCCGCTGGGCCGCGAGTGCCGCCGCGCTTTCAGAAACTGGGCACTTCCCAGCTGCTCTGTGCCTGTTGTTCCTCCAAACACAGAGTGTTTCACAGAATCCCAGCATGGCCGGGGTTGGCAGGGCCCTCTGTGGGTCCCCCAGCCCAGCCCCCTGCCCAAGCAGGGTCACCCAGAGCAGGCTGCACAGCACCGCGGCCAGGCGGGGCTGGAATATCTCCAGAGAAGGAGACTCCACAGCCTCCCTGGGCAGCCTGGGCCAGGGCTCCGTCACCCTCAGAGGGAAGAAGTTCTTCCTCGGGTTCAGCTGGAGCTTCCTCTGCTCCAGTTTGTGCCCGTTGCCCCTTGTCCTGTCGCTGGGCACCACTGAACAGAGTCTGGCCCCATCCTCCTGACCCCCACCCTGCAGATATTTAGAGGCATTTCTAAGGGCCCCTCTCAGCCTTCTCTTCTCCAGGCTGAACAAGCCCAGCTCCCTCAGCCTCTCCTCGCAGGAGAGATGCTCCCGTCCCCTCCTCATCCTCGTAGCCCTGCACTGGGCTCTCTCAGGGCAGCCTGGTCCAACGCCTGAGCACTCTTTCAGTAAAGAAATTGTTCCTCATCTCCAATCTGAGCCTCCCCCGACGCAACCTGGGGCCATCAACCTCCGATCCACTCCATTATGACCCTCACTCGCTGAAGTCAGGGATAAACCAGGACGATGGCGCGAAGGAGCTGGGCCCGGTCGCAGCACAGGATGGGGGACGCAGATGCAGGGAACGTGGCTGAAGCATCCCCAACAGCTTCCCTGGGAGCTGGGGGCAGGAACAGGACCACCCCCCGTTCCAGAGGCAATCCAAGACGGAGACCGGCACCTTTGTCGGTCGGAGGATGGGCGCAGGATTAACCCCGCGGGATTACCGGCAGCCGGGCGGAGGGTGCTGGGGCAGCTCAGAGCTGCCGCTGACCCAGGCCAAGGGAGGATCGGCTCCTCTTTCCGCGTCGCCCCGGATGCCAGGACTTAAGGTGCTGCAGCACAGCGGGACAGTCGTTAAGCCTCTTCGTCAGGGGAAGCTCCCCGGTGCCCGATGGTGCCGGGACCACGCGCGGCTGAGCCCCGAGCCCGGCCAGGAGCCACCAGTCCGACACCAGTCCCACGCGGGGAGATGCCAACCCTGTGCCCGTGGCAGGCGGCGAGCCAGGGCCCTGATCCGCAGGTGGGCTGTGCACGTGCGTCGATAACCACCTTTTTGTCCCAAAACCGTGGCGATGCTGTGCAGGAGGTGGGGCTGCCGCCTGTGCCCGCGGCTCGCTATGAGTGAGTTGAGTTGTTTCGGCCTGTTTTCTGTGCTCGATGGAGCCCGAGGAGCAGCGCTGGTGTGCCGGGGCTGCGGGCGGTGACAGTGTCACCATTCAGGGAGAGCTCTCGAGGCACAGTGCCGAAGGACGGGCTTCGAGCTCTCGGTGCCGCGGGTGAGCAGCTGAGACATGTCAGGTCCGGCCAGGAGGGGTTGGCCAACGTCGCTTGGGCATCTGCAGGATCTGAGCCAAGAGATCTGCCAGTCAGAATCACAGGCCAGCGAGCAGTTAACTCGCTATTTCTATGCTAAAAAAGCTCTTGGAATCTCCAGCGGCTGGCAAGCCATCTGCCAAATTTCTTGTTTTTCAAATGGTGTCATGAGGGATCGGAAAGGTCACAGAATCATAGGTTGGAAAAGACCTCTAAGGTCCAGTCCAGCCGTCACCACAGCACCACCATGCCTGCTCAGCCGTGTTCCGAAGTGCCACATCTACACGTTTCTTGAACACCTGCGATCTGACATCGTGTTGCACTGCCCTGTACACTTCCGTTGCAGGCATGCTTTAAGCTCCTGCTTGCATTTTCCCCTCTCTGTTTCATCAGTTCTTGGAGAAAAGATTGCTGTTTGCTGGATTGCTGCCCTCCCCCATGCTCAGGAGCGTGTCCTCGAAGGGCGTCTGGCTGCTTCACAGACACTGGAGACTGTGGAGGTACCTAGGAAGGGACACGTGTGTGCACAGTGTTCAAGCTCACGCTCCCTGCTTCTGCTCAGACCTGGGTAGCAATTTTGTGCCCGCTACCCAGCGACTCGATGAGGTTCTGAAGGGCAGGCAGCTGCCTGCGCTGGCCTCTGCGAAGCAGAGGTGATGTCTGCCAAGAGCAGGATACGCCGGTTGTGGAGCTGAACACGTATTTGTCATGGAGTGAAGTGTCTGGGTGGTCACAGGAGGCCTCGGAAGTCGCTGCTGTCGAGTGTTTGCCTTGGGCAGAAGCAGCTGCTGGTCGTGTTCGGTGAGAAGATGCCCCTGAGTGAACTGCTCTCCAGATCGGCGCTGCGTGCAGGCCCCGAAACCGGCCGCCACGCTGTACGGTGCGTGGCCCTGTGGCGGGGCAGCAGCGGGCTGAGGGGCTGAGTGACAGTCGGATCGGGTATTGTGCAGTGAAGTTTTAAATGCAAAGTGTTTTAGCTTTGCCTGCTGGTGCCCAGACCTCGGAACAGAGGGAGAGGTGTGTCTGTGCAACGGCGCGGGTTTTGTGTCTCGTTTGGCTCTCCTGATCAGATCCATATCCATGTGAAATACTTCATACAGAAAGAGAGTCTGCGCTAGAATTCTAGCGCGGTGTGAAAGCTGGCAAAAAGTCAGAAGTGCGATGGCTTTAAGGCCAGGTTTGGGGTCACAGGCTGTAATTCATGCAGTGCCTCTAAAGAAAATCCGTTTGGGTCTCAGAACCTGAGCGTTGATGGTAGCTTGGATATCGAGAGCGGCTTGCAGTGGTGCAGAACCTTCTGGAAGCAAGCTCTGCTGTCCACACGTGATCTCAGAAGGACTGGGTGAGGCTTGTGCTCTGAGCAGGTATCCCCCAAAACTCTATAGCCTGGAAAACTGGCACAGCTTTACCAGTCTGGATATCCAGCGTGTGAAAGCACAGCGGTGGTATAGGAATAGAAATCGAATCTTCACGTTGACTGTGCTGTGCCCCATGCGTTCTTACGTGCTTGGACGTGGTGGTGAGAAAAAATGAATGAGCTGACTGCGGCTGATCTTTGTTCTGATCAGTTAATGCAGTTCCCAAGGGCTGAAGGACCAGTGAAAACGCAAAGGCAGAGGCTGTAACAAGAAAAATTACTGCTCGAGGCTCTCGTCTGCTGTCTTGCATTTATTTGGGTGTTCTTGTGCAGCAAGAACATTTGTCAGGTTAACCTTGTTCTTGGTCATTTGTTGGTTGTTCTTGCTTAAAAAAGAGCCATCAGCCATGCAAGTCGTGCGCATCGCCCAGGTCTCGGTTTAGACTGGCCTCCGTGGAGACGATGGGATCTGGACTGGACATTCCGTAAGCTTTGAACCGCTGCCGTAAGCGTGGCAGGCGGGCTGCCCACAGGGC